GCCTTGGGCAACATCGAGAAGACCTTCGGAGGACCCCAGATCAAGCAGCGCTGAGCGGTTGAGCGGATCACCCGGTAGTGTGAGGACAACATGGACACCAACTGTTTTGTAAGATGAGAGTGGGATGAGAAAAGATAACACCCACTGTACACGATCTCAACGTTGTCTTGAGCTGGGTGTCCATGTTAGTGGAAGGCCGGGTATCTTTTTCCGTGTAGCAATTGGATGTCATCACCTTGTGATGCTGCGCAAGAAAAGGAACTTCCGAAAGTGGGACTGGGTGTGAAGTTTCTGCAGCTAATGGAGAAAGAACAATATGTTTACTGCTGAAGTTCTTTGGTTTTGGTAAGGAGATGCGGAGAGGCGATGAAGACGTGAGGATTTTTCTGGCCCAGGAAGATGCAGGGATACCAAAAAGAGGTGTTCACCAACCACAACCAGATGACTAGAGTGACTAGATGATATGAACATCCTATGCTTTTTCGATGTTTTTATGTGCTTTTGGTTGCTTTTGTTGTTTGCTCTTCCTTTTCTCTGTCAGATTTTTGGCTCCAGCCCCTCCGCCGCACGACCGTGCTGTTCCGCAACTGCGACTATCCATGGCGCGTGCTTCGAATCTCCTCGTCTCGGCCGTGCTCTTCGCCGGGGCCTTCACTGTGTCCCGCTGGGCGTTCGTCGCGCCCAATGTGAACTCCCAAGGGTTGCGACAGAGCTCTACGGCCTTGGCAGCCCGTGGTGGTGGGGAGTATGACATCAGCGATGCGGACATCCAGAACTTCTACAACTCCCTGTTGACTCTTGGTTGATGTACTTGTACCATGTACCATCTTGAATCTTGATCCATCTTGTACCGTTCTTTGGATGTTCAAGGCCTCTAAAGAGGTTTGGCTGTTTGGAGAGTAGGAACATGTAACTCACAAAGGGACTTATAAGTTGTTTAGCGATGACAATCCTTGCCCCCTTCGTATGAACCCCACTCCACAGAAGAGCTGGTTAGAGGTGGTTTTCATTACCCAGACACTCCATGAATGGGGTAAATATCAGTATGCAACTATTCCACACATGGATGGTCTGGGTGTGGGCTTAGGGGCTCAAATACATCTAGAAGGGATTGTGAGATAGCTAGGTTTCCCATCCTCAATTGCCAACAGCCAAGATAGAGGTCCCTGCTAAACCACGATTCAGTATGATCTGATTTTGCTTCGTGATTCATTTCTACGTTGTTTGCTGTCAGTTCCTTCCAGATTCCTTAAGTACATAGATTCCTCAAGCAATTTGAGGTCTTCGGTCTTCAAGCGGATCGGGTGTCCAGCATGGTGACCCGAATGTTCAGCATGTGTCCAGCATGGCGACCTGTTTTCCCTCATCCACTCACTGTCCAGTGGATCCAAGCAGCCAGCTGTACCCTTCAGATCCACATTTCCACCACACTGCTGAGGCTTTGCAGCGTCCAAGATAGTGGATTTGTTGGGCATGTGCCCAACAGATCCTACCACATTTCATGCCACATCAAACCTCAAAGGTTGGCAGTGGATGCCTGTCGGTATGCGGCCCAAAACACCAGAAGTGCCGTGGTATTGCTTCTCTCAATTGGGTGCAGGTTTTCTTCCATTCACAGCCAACTGTGTCACGTGGCTTAAACACTGAGGACTGGCGCTGGTGGTGACCCTCCCAAGGGCACCGTGCTCTCGGAGTTGGTGGTGAAGTTCTTCCACGGTGACTTCACACCGCAGGGCTTCAAGCGCTACAGCGGCCTCTGGAGCGGGGTGACGTGTGGGTGGCACTGCGGTTGAAGCACGACTGCGCACACGTTGGGTTGCACTTTAGGTTGTGAGACCTCGTGGGACGCTATAGTTGGAGATATATCATGGGTGTTGGGATGCAGTTGACTAAACTTTTGTTGACCTTTGTAGGTTGCTGTGACTGTGCGTGTTGGATGACAGAGGAAGTCCTAGATGACTGCTGTGGAGCAGCAGAATCTTGCCATTGATTTTGCCATTGCGGTGACAGATCATAGAATTACGCAAACGTGAATTTTTTTTAGTAGACTCATCATGTGTAGAGGTGCCAGTAGACGAAGGACACCATGCAGTTGTTCAATTGCTCAAACCGTAGGCTTCTAGAAAGTCCAGCTACCCAGCACCTTCAAATTCCAGACGTTACCTAGTTTAAGCTTCCCTACACTACAGAGTGGGCACCTCCTGGAAGGTTCAGGTCTAGCTAGGCTTTTCTCGTACCGTCGCAGGAAGGGCCCTCCTCCAGGGAACATCGGCAAGAAGGATGGGACTTCCGTGAGCGCTGCCAAAATGACTGACTGGTGCGACTCGTAGGGAATCAGGGAATGAGCCCGAAATAGAGATTCTATTGGATCCAGCCACCCTCAGCCACCCTGCGAGCCACACCAGTCAGATGAGAGTTGAACAGTTCTTTGGAAAGCTCGATGTTGCAGACGGTGTTCTCGACGTTGCAGACGGTGTTCAGGAATTTCCTCGGATTATTTCTTGCTTTTGATGTTGTTTGATGGTCCAAAAGAATGAAACACATCCCAAACCAGAATCCAGAAAGAAGCAGGAATTGGAAGCCAATATGATCAACTCCAGAAATAATGAGGTCCGTTCTTGCGCCGCTACGGGGCACGTGACATCTGGATTTCTGTTTGTTCGTGGTTCGCCGGATGCTACCGGATGCGACCCACGCAGGACATCGCGGTGGGCGTGGCGAAGCTCAAGGAGCAGATGAGCAACCCCATGTTCCCGGCCTCAAAAAACCTACACACGCCAGACGCCCGAAGCAGCAGAATGAACAAGAGGTTGGTTGTTTGAACATAGACTTCAAAGAGAGTGCTGGGAGCAGAAGAAGGCATGTTGTTTTCTATCAGTGTATGTATCCAATTGCAGAACCGGGCGCCCACATGTTGTGGGATGGAACTGCCTCCGGAGGTGGCATGACACGTCGATGCTTGAAATGAACAGCAAAAACTGGTCTAGTTGAATGCTGGAATATACCTGGCTAAGCAGGTGCAATAGTTGCTATGAGACTGACCATCATCGACCCTGTTCAACCACCCCACTGATGGTATTCCATCTATCCAACATGGAACGAAAGGGATATACGTCACTCGTCACCAGCATCGTCACCTACGTGCGACTACGTCTGAGTGCCACGAGGTTCGTGACCAAGGGCGGCGTTGGCTACGGCGTGGATGAGACTCAGAAGGCACGGTGGACACAGCAGATTTAGATTCCATTTTGCGGCATGCCCAGATGATCTCAGATGTCAAGACAACAACCATATGTTGGACCTTTGGAAGAGATGCTTAGTGGTTGTGGGACTCTCCTTGCAGTGGTGATTAGAACTGCTATGCGTCCGAGCACCCTGATCTCTCAGGTGGAGGACGACGGCAAGGGCTGGGTGTGGCTGGCGGCCGAGATGAGCCCAGGTGGCCTGGCCGTGGAGCTGTTCAAGTCGGTGCCATACGGGACACTTGGATGATGGCACTTCTGCTGAGTGGTGGGGTGGTGGGCTGGCTGGGCGGCCCGTGGTGTGGCAGATTAGCTCTAACAAGTTGAGGAGATGTCCGACGTGATTCTCTTTGCACGTGAAATGATAGAAAGTTATAGATGATTTTCAAGCCACATCTGGAGGATAAATGGGACCATGTTTTACAGACGAGTGGAGGTTCAAGCCACTATATACTGTAATGCGTGTCACCTTCATCGAACATGACACGCCGCCGTCCCGAACTCACGGGGCGCGAAACCGTCAGCGCTGCCCCTTTCGCGCTCATCACCTTGCAAGGAAGCGCGCGATCCTGGTGGCAAAGCAATCCAACGTGGATGAGCTCTTCCAGAAGGTTGGCCATCACGAGAAGGGGGCCAAATGGGTAGCTCAACAACTAGCTAGCCTAGCTGTGCTTCCAGGGTAGCTCTATGTATATATCTAACACAGGCTTGGAAAGTTGTGGTTCTTTTCCATTGCAGCAACAAAGAATCTGGGTTATGAACCACCTGGGCATGGCTCAAAGAAGGAGTACACGTCCTCGAATTTTAGGCACGTTGTAGTATGTTTTAGAAGAGGGATGTTGGGCGGCGCAGGAGAAGACAAATATGGGTCACCTATAGAGTCCAACATACTCGCTTTTGGGGACGAGTGAAGGACACTGATGCGTGTTTATACGGCAGATTATATAACTATATACAATAATATACAATAGGTCAGCAGTGTCAACAGCAGAAAAAAGGCATTCTCACGAGAACCTCACGTGCACCGGCAACAAAGGGAATATATTGGACTGGCGGACTGGCAATAAATCACTATTAATAGCGGCAGTACATCGAGATCTACCGCAAACACCTCCAGATCTTTGCAATCGCAGAACAAATTGTTGGACCGTTGAAGGTTGCTGCGGATGTGCTTGCGTGAGAGCGCGCGCGCGCGACACATCGCGGCGGATCGACAGGTGAATTGGGATACGGCCTTGGGCAACATCGAGAAGACCTTCGGAGGACCCCAGATCAAGCAGCGCTGAGCGGTTGAGCGGATCACCCGGTAGTGT